GGGGTGGTGGGGGGGGGGGGGGGGGTGGGGGGGGGGGGGGTTCTGTTTCTCCTCACCAAGAACAACTTCAACCAAGTCACCCGGCGGTGAGACATTAACTTATACTAACCATGACAACTCCAGGAACAACGAATGCTAGAGAAACTCTAGGGGTCTGGCAGCGTCTGTGAAGAGAAACAATTGATGTTGAGTCTTGACTTCTAAGAACTACAAGAGAACTCCAAATTTCATGATCAGGTTGTTAGGCTCAACTCTTTACATTGATCCCATCAACAAATTTTTATTGATCATTGTTGTTCTGTTTCTGATCTTGGCTAAAAGCTTCTACCTATAATCCTCAGATCAGGCATTTACTAAATGACAATTAATGTCCTGCAATATATCTGTGCATTTTCTAAAAGGGTAATAAATAAGCATGAACAACTTGAAACTTATTTGTCTTATTTTCAGAACATGCAAAAAGTGGAATTACCAGAAGTAAAATTCATGAATCAGTTTGACAATATAAAATACATCTGTATTCAGAAGGAAATACTAAAGCAAACCAACCTACCTAGATATTTTGAATGCATTCTGTAGTTTAAGCGGTCTATTAAGAATCAACTGCTTCCAAATTTGGTATTATTTGCAAATTTGATCAATTCAGACCGGTTATCTGAATCCACCTCTGTACTCCAATTGAAAACATCGAGGTTCCAAAACCAACCCCTGGGTCATTCCACTCAGCATTTCCATCCTTCTTCCAGCATAGCTTCTGTAACCATTACTTGTCAGTTCATTTCTTAAGCACCAAAGTATTCTTCTGAACATCTAATAATTTAACAAAGCTTAAAATCTTCAACATCCATTTCAACAGGCCAAAATTTCCAGTGCACTTGGAATTTCAGTTTTTTGAAAAATAGCCAGCATGCAGCCAAGATCAAGGCACATTAGTCCATTTCAGGAACAAAAATAAAAAAGTTGCTGGAAAAGCTGAGCATGTATGGCAGCGTCTGTGAAGGAAAAACAGAGTTAACGTTTCAGGTCCAGCAACTTTGTTTTTGTTCCTGATTTACAGGATGTGCAGTTCTTTCGGTTCTTATTTAGTCCATTTCAGGTAGCCTTTACTTAATTCAATAGTCAACACCTTATAGAGTAGCAATCAAAGCAAATGAATTTTGAAAACCAAAAGAACTGTGGATGCCGTAAATCAGGAACAAAAACCATGTTGCTGGAAAAGCTCAGCAGGTCTGGCGGCATCTGTGGAGGAGAAAACAGTTAATGTTTCGGGTCCGGTGACCCTTCCTAAGGGTTACCGGACCCGAAACTTTAACTCTGTTTTCTCCTCCACAGATGCTGCCAGACCTGCTGAGCTTTTCCAGCAACTTTGTTTTTGTTGCAAATGAATTTTGAACTGTACAAAAGTGCAATACTGGTCAGAGGAAGCTGTCCTGAAACCATTTAGTTATGTAGTTGTACCACCTGTCTTGTGGTAGATTATGCTTACTCATCATGACATAAGACAAACATTGAGATCCTGCAAATTAAGGAAGGTAAACATGAATTCAATATGAAACAACCGGGTCATGGAGACTAACTTAGTCAGAGATGTACAGCATGGAAACAGACCCTTAGTCCAACTCGGCCATGCCAACCAGATATGGTAAATTAATCTAGCCCCATTTGCAAGCATTTCGCCCACATCACTCTAAACCCTTCCTATTCATATGGCCATCCAGATGCCTTTTAAATGTTGTAATTATACCACCCTCCACCACGTCCTCTGACAACTCGTTCCATACATGCACCACCCTCTGCGTGGAAACATTGCCCCTTAGGTCCCTTTTAAATCTTTCCCCACTCACCTTAAACTTATTACCTGTAGCTTTGGACACCCCCTCCCAGGGGAAAAGACCTTGTCTATTTACCCTAACCCTGCCAGTCATGATTTCCTAAACCTCTAAGGTCACGCCTCAGCCTTTCCCTAAAGCTCAAACCTTCCAACCCTGGCAACATCCTTCTTAGTCTTTTCTGAACCCTTTCAAGTTTCACAACATCCTTCCTATAGCAAGGAAGTCAGAATTGCACACAGTATTCTGAAAGTGGCCTAACCAATGACCCATACAGCTGCAACATGACCTCCTAACTCCTATACTCAATACTCTGACCAATAAAGGTAAGCATACCAACACCACCTTCACTATCCCATCTACCTGAAACTCTACTTTCAAGGAACTATGAACCTGCATTCCAAAATTTTTTTTTGGCAACAGTCCCCAGGGCCTTACCATTAAGTGTATAAGTCCTGCCTTGATTTGCCTCTCCAAAATGCAGCACCTCACATTTACCTAAATTGAACTCCATCCGCCATGCCTCAGCCCATTAACCCATCTGATCAACATCCCATTGTACTCTGAGGTAATCTCCTTCACTGTCCACCACACCTCCAATTTTGGTGTCATCTGCAAACTTACTGTCCATACCTCCTATGTTCACATCCAAATCATTTATAAAAGTGACAAAAAGCAGTGGACCCAGCACCAATTCTTGTGGCATATCGCTGGTCAGAGTCCTCCAGTCTGAAAAGCAACCCCACCACCACCCATCTTCTACCTTTGAGCACGTGCTGTATCCAAATGGCTAGGTCTCCTCGTTTTACATGTGATCTAACCTTACTTCTTCAAAAAAACTCCATTAAGTTGGTGAGACACGATTTCCCACGCACAAGGCCATGTTGACTACCATCATCAGTCCTTGCCATTCCCAATACATGTAAATCCTGTCCCTCCAATGCCAGGCTCACCGATCTATAATCCCCAGGGTTTCCTTACAATCTTTCTTAAATATAGTGGCACATTAGCCAACCTTCTAGCACCTCACCTGTGGCTACTGATGACCTAAATATCTCAACAAGTGCCCAGCAACCACTTCTGTAGCTTCCTAAAGAGTTCCAAGTCCTAGGGTACACCTGAACATGTCCCAGGGATTTATCCACCTTTATGGTTTTTTTTTGTAAAAAGGATGGCAACACCTCCTCCTCTGTAATATGGAGGTTTTTCAAAGATGTCACTATTTACTTCCCCACGTTCTTTATCTTCCCTATGCTTCTCCATAGTAAACACTGATGCAGAATAATCGTTTAGTATCTCCCCCATCTCCTGAGGTTCTACATATAGGCAGCCTTGCTGATCTTTAAGGGGGCCCTATTCTCTCCCTAATGACCCTTTTCTCCTTCATGTATTTGTAGAATCTCCTTAACCCTATTTGCCAAAGCTATTTCGTGTCCCCTTTTCACCCTCCTTTTTCTCTCAAGTATACTCCTACTGCCTTTATAATCCTTTAGGGATTCACTCAATCTCTGCTGTCTATACTTGACATATATTTCCATCTTATTCTTGACCAAAATCCTAATTTCTCTCGACATCCAACATTCCCTACACCAACCAGCCTTACCCTTCACCCTAACAGTAGTACACTGTCTCTGGACTCTCCTTAACTCATTTTTGAAGGCTTCCTATTGTCCAGCCGTCCTTTTACCTGCAAACATCTGCCCCCAGTCAACTTCCTACAATATTAGAACTTTAACTTTTAGATCCAGTCTACCCTTTTCTGAAAGGGAATCTCGTGGAAGTCTGCAATATAGGTAGTAAACCAGCTGAAAAGAGGTACATTAGAAAGAAAACTCAAACTGAACAAAGCCAAGGTAATAATAGTTCAAACCAGAAAGTAGCAAATTCATAACAAATCAAAACATTAACATGTTGAATGTATTTCTCATTAAGGCAATGGAAATTGAACATCAGATGATGAAAAATTAAGAAGTAATTGAATGAAATGTTTGCTGGAAAGAAAAAGTCAAACGTACATGAAACACCCTTCCTCATCAGGTGAAATAATTAAGTGCAAACCACTGCAACGGGGGCAGGGGGGGAAGGAAGATGCTTCTCTTTAACAAGGGAAAGATTCTTGCATCATACAGCAACCAGCTCAAGATACACACTAGGTGAAGGCAGAATTAGTCTGACAACCATCTCAGCTGAGAAAATTAAACCAACATCAAATGCCCATTTGACACAGTATTGCACAACTATGAATACACAAGGTACCAGAGATTGGAAGAAAAAAAAAATCACCATTTGCAGGACAGAAATAAAAAGTTGTGGAGAAGGACATGGGGGAAAAGACGCTATTTTTGCAATCCAAAAGCTATTGGCCAGAAACTAATGCAATCCTAATGCAATCATACTCAAGATCCCGGTGATGACAAGCACTTATTTCTAGAAGAAATAAGTTCTGCCACTACTAGCCAAATGCCCCAAATTCAGATATATGCCAAGATGTTCACAGACTGAAGCCATACTTGATAAATGTATTACAGGACAGGCAGACAACTTCCTAAAGGAAACTCCCGGAACTGCAACAGCAACATCATTGAGTTTGAGTTACTGACATGTAGGCGGCATTATACCATGTACCGGTTCTGCAACCTTCAATTGTGCAAAATAACTGGTACATGATCTGTAAATGGAAGTTATGAAATATCACGGGCTGTTCACTGTGAATCAGTTTAAATACATCCTCTTCCAGAACCAAAATATGGCATAATAGTTACAAACAACCAGCACGTCACACGAGTGAAAACACGTGAAAGGCTCAAAATTGGAACACCAAATCTCAAAAAGACATTGCTGTACTTCCAGCAACTAGCAAATTACCGATAGCTCAAGTGAAAAACGCGAATAATTAAAACATCTGCTGGCACCGACACCCCCTCAAGGTGGGAGTCGGTTTCAGGCGGTAAACAAAACGGCAGATCACTAAAGGGGTGAACGCAGTTTTCCTTTTAGCATCACGCAACAGAAAGAAAAACTGAGAGCCGGATTATGGTGGTCCTTGGTTAGAAGAGATGTAACCCCACATTAGCAGAGATTACACACTGTCCTTGGATACACGGCTCGTGGACCAATTTAAACCAGGCGGCGCCTCAAAGCCCCAGCTACATTCGGCCCGGTTTTATTTACCTTCATTAGAAGTGTCCATCCCTCGTACTTTCTTCACAAATGACGAGCAGGTGGCGAGAGGATCCTCTCCAACCGCCACAACTCGGCTCCGAAGTCAGTCAAGCAGCCAGCCACCCGGCCCTCCGCCTGCACTAGCAGCACGACCACCCCGACACCGTCCGTCCGGCACCCGCCTCCACCGCCGACTCCTGGAGCCACCCAAACCCCACCTCCAACCTCCAACCTGGCCCCGCCCATTAACCGCCTCGGGCGCGGCGTGCGTCGAGCATCGGGGAACGTCACCGCGCACGGGTCAAAGTCACCACGTGCGGGTTAACGTCAGCGCGCACGGGTCAGCGTCCCCCCGCTTTGCCCGCACGTGACTCCGCCCGGGTTGGGGTCGAGGTGGCGAGGAAGCGCCTTGTGCCGAGCTGGGAGGCTGTCACCAGCAATCTCAAACTGTGGAAAATAACTGAGACAACAAGGTGCAGGGCTGGATGAACACAGCAGGCCAAGCAGCATCATAGCAGCAGAGAGAACATAGAACATTACAGCGCAGTACAGGCCCTTCAGCCCTCGATGTTGCGCCGACTTGTGAAACCAATCTGAAGCCCATCTAACCTAAACTGCTCCCAGGATGAGGCATTCCACTCCCGTACATCTCAGTTGCCCTCGTTTTTCAAGGACCGTA